TTTCTGGGTTGGCAGAAGGCTCAGCTTGACAGTTAACTGCTGATTCTGTCTTAAGTAGGTATGAAAAAAACTGCAGTTTGGTATGGCTAAACTCGGGTCTGTTAGTGCAGAGAAGTTTTGGAAAAGTAAATAAGAAATAAGAATTGAATGGGCTTCATATTCAGTTAAACAATGCAGTTATTGACTGTATTGCATTTAGCTCAGAAAAAAAAAAAATCTCTGTGCTATATCTGCAGTTTCTTTTGAAATATGATGTCTCTTGCAGTAGAGTCCTGGATGCTGCCTAAGCTTTGATTTGTTGTTGTTTCAGTCAAGCAATGAACTACGGTTGAAAAAAGAACTTGAATGGCAGTAAGCTACCACTATGTATCAATGTTTTCCTCTGTCTGGTCTGTCCTGTATGTTCACAGGACCTTCCCCAAAGCATTCTCATGTGTCTGGTGTAATGTGCAGAATTTTGAGCACGAGTAGTAGGGTTTTTTTAATATAAAATAACCTATGTAATTCTGCTTTTACTCTGATGATTTGCTACTGTACCTATTCTGACTACTGTATTTTCCTTGGATTTATCCCACCTAATGAGATACTGTCAGTTGTTTATTGAAGTTTAATTTTTCATTTGTTTTAATTAGAAAATTGCATTAATTTTTCATTTGTTTTTATTAGTTAATTCAGCAATCAGTGCCTTGGTGTTGTGAACTGTTCTTGGGATAATAAATAGGATCAGATCATGCAAATGCCTATCTCTGGGCTCTGATATCAAGTTTAAAATTGCATTACTATATTTTGCCTTCCTAGAATTCTTTCACCAGATGGTAGTGTTTGATTTCCTTTTGAACACTCTACAAAATCAAAATGTAGTTGTATTAAATTCATTTAAAATCAATAATATTTAAGTGAACATAAGTGAGATGATAATGTGCCGACTTTTAACTAAGGAATTCTTATTAGCTTCGTATACTTAATATGTTATATAGATAATTTTTTTGAGAAACGGTGTCATTAAACATTCTCCAAAAGAGGGAATAATAGCACAGAATAAGTTAAAAAAGAGCTAGTAAGTATTTTTCCTTATATTGTAATCTGGGGAGTGCAGTATAGTTTTGTCTTGCAGGTTGTTTGAACTGCTGGCTGCTGGTGTTTAGCCAGTCCTGAATGTGTTGAATACTGTTACTGGCAATTAAGGCACGGTCTATTACTGCTTGCCAATTATGAAAATATAAAATCTGACATTTGAAGGAATAGCTATTAAGTTTACCAGCTTCAGACAAAGGCTTGTTTTATTACTGTCACTCTCCTGCTCAACGGAGAGACGAACGCCAGCACGGGGTTCCTGGCCTTTTTTTCTACTGACCGTAGAAAGAGAAAAGGGCGACCAGCTTCCCGGTTATAAACATAACCTTTGTGAATTCTCTCCTTCATGTTGGAAGAAGTCTTAATTGTGAAGACCAAAATGACCTAGCAGCTTATAATCAACTACTTCAGTCTTTAATATATGTACATGTACAGTATATATACAAATACAAATGTGGAAGATGGCTCATTTTGGCCTCCTTTGTTCAGAAGCATCGTTCAGGTGACTGGTTGTGTTTGGTGGACGGTCTCAAATGTATTGCCGTAGTGCCTTTAGCCTGGATACCAGTCTTTTTGCTTTCATGGTTTTCAGAAACAGTGTGCTCTTTCAACAGTGTAGTGAAGTTGGCTGCATGTGGATTGGATTTAGATGGATGCACATGGGAAAAAAAATGCTTGTTCCCACTGATATCTATTAATGAATGGTCTGTAACCGGACTGGGACTGTATTTTTTGTGGGGAAAATATGATGTGAAGGTTCTCCATCCAAATCTATATTTTTCCCAGTTTGTACTCTATGATATTTATGTTTTAATCAGTAAAGCATAGTTTCCTGTTTCTAAAAAGTGCTGGGTTTTTTTTCTTTTCTAAAGGACTTATGTCAGGTAGTTGAACTTAGAATTTTTTTTTGTTTATGTTCACCTTAAAATGCTGGATTGGAAACCGGCTATTCAAGAACTGGTTCAGGAATAGACTTCATGCATCTGTCTGAAGGGCGATGGCATATACATCAGCTGGAGGGGTAGATGATAGAGCAGGTATGACCTGATAGGTTTTGGTATCCAGTTCTAATGTGCTGGCCGTCAGAGGCCCAGCTGACAGGGATGGAGTGGTGCCAAAACCAAAGCGTTACAACTGGTTTTTTTGTCACTTCTCAGGCAGAAGACACTATTTATTGAAAGTAATTGTCCCGTGAATAATAACTGCTACACTCATATTTAGATGCTTTCACTCAGTGGCTTCTTAGATGCTTGCAAAGCCTCAGGTGTTTTTCTTAAACATGCATTTGCTGGTGGTGGCTGAATTCAATCACTGCTCTGTCCTTCAGAAGAATTTTTTTAGTTTGTGACACTCCTCTATCGTAATTTATTAGTAAAGCGTAAAGTAGGCTTAAGAATATGTAAGAATGCAAAAGTCCATGTCGGTGAGCAAAGCAGAAGCCTCTGGATGCTAAATGGGGAGACTGGATTCTGACTTTTGGCAGGAATTTTGTCAGTAATTTCAGGGTTTGTTTCTTGTGCGACATGGTTACGTCTGGATGCCTGGCCGTGCTACTTGGGATGTAAAAGAGATCCTTGTTTTTAGTGGTTGTGTGACATATCACTTAAGTACTAGTTTGAACTAGCATTTTAAAAGCAAATGATAGGCTTGTGAAGAAATGAAGGCCTGGTTATATCCAGAAATAAACTCAGCTGTTTTGCAACTATGCCCACGATGGCAGTTGTACTCGGAGGTCAGATCTGGCCGGGAAAAAAAAAAATCCATACAACTTTGGTGTATAGTAGATCTGATTTACAGTACCCTAAAGTAAAGAAAAAATGTCCAACAGCCAATTGTGAGTGAATACAGATGTTTTACAGGATTTATCATGCAATGCTGGCAACACCCGATGAAGGTGGTGGTGTTTTGTAGAGTTCATGGGATGTGGCAAAAGGTTTGAAGTAAATACGAGTGAATGTTACACTCGAGGTTGTAGAACATAGAGTTGCTATAAGTGGTTGGAAGTTAATATGCTGCGTTCATGGGGGGAAAGTAAACTGCATGTTTTACTGTATTAAATACAACATTTTAAATAGCATGAGTTACATGAGTAGAAGACACTAGAAACAGTTGTTAAAATCTTCATGAGCTTCTTGCATCCTGAACTGCATTCAGGGAGAAAAAAAATCTGATTGAGTAAATTTAAACACAAAACCAGATATCAGCACTAAACTAGGAACTCTGTAACTAATTTTTTCTGTCTCTTTGGAACGTTACTTCATTTAAAAATATTTGACTTTACATTCTGAGTCTCTGCTTTAGAATTACTTTTTTATCTTCTGTCTTTTCACATTAAAGTTAACAGCAGATTGTCTTGTTCCTTGACAAGCAAGATGTTAAGACCCAACAGCATTCTCCAGGCGGTCTCAGCAAGCCTTTTTCTTTTCTTCAAACCTTTCTAAATTCCTTGGAGGCAGGAAAAAGCAGGTCATGTGCAGCATGTCCTGACAGATCCCCTGTGGGATGAGAGGGTCCTTTACTGCTCGTGGTTGTATAACTTTCTGGGGGGCCGATGACTCTTTTTCCTTGCCACTGCTTATGGCAAAGGGGTCTGCAGCCTTCCCTGGTTGTGAGAAATTTCGGAGCTTGTTCAGATATGGGAAAAGAAAAATGTGTGACGTTTCCCAGCTTACAGACTCTTGGAGTTCGCTGCCAGTGTTTTCTTTGCTGCTTGGCAGGCTCATTTCATTCATGCTGAGAGAGGCAAGTTACACCTTGGTGCTATGAGATACTTCTTACAAATTTTGGAATCACTAAAACGTGTTGGTTTAGTATGTGAGAGAGTTTTGGAGGGGAGTAAGAAACGGGCAGGAGAGGTAAGCCTTTCAAGCTGTGTGGACTCCCTATTCTTATTAGGGTAAGGACTATAAAGTAGGGTTGTTTTTTGTTTTTGTTGGGTTTTTTTTGTGTTTTTTTTTTTTTAAAGGGACTCATTCAGCATATTTAAAATTGCACCGTTAGCCATTCAGAGTGTGCCAATCCTGCCAACTTTCTTGGTTAGCTCAATGAGCATTGCATGCAAGCAGATACTCCTTTTAACTGGGAGCTTATTCAGCTGCATAATTTGAGGAGCCTAAGGTTTGAATGTCTTGGCCTTTGCACCTACTTCACTTGTAGGCTGTAGATCCCTGTAAAATGATTTTCACGTAATATTTTCATAGAAGGTAAGGTAGGTGTTCCTTAAGAGGGAGAGTTGTAATGTCATAGTATTGGAGGTGAGTCTCACAAAAGCTTGTAATATGATAAATCAGTTGTGACTGAATGCATTAATGGGTTTTTTAAGAGTTAAAGTTATTGAAGTGCCCAGCAACATGAAATGAGTGGGCACGTTCATTCATCTGAAGTGACAAGAGACTCTGTTTCTGCTCACGTGCCTGACGTGCCCGTTACAGAAATTCAAATATTTGGACACAAGACCAGGGACAGACAAGTATCCATTAGTCATATGACTCACTGTGTGCGTGTATGTATATATGTGTGTGTGTGTATACATGTATACAGACATATATTTATGTATAGACACACCCCTAGTATAGTCCTAGCTTTGAATGTTTGGTACTTCTATTTAGATCATGAGATAGACCCCCTTTTTGGTTCACGAGTTAGGAAAATTGGGGAAAAAGCTGCAGGGGTTAGTCTGTGGACCCCCACAAAAGCTGATCTCTTCTTGAATATTCTCTATACCCAAGGCTGAGGGTAAGCAGAAAGCAAAATATCATGAGTTGGAAAAAGACTGGAAGAATCTTGTCCTGACAGACTGGCTACCTCCACAGGGAGTAACAGGAATAAACATAATGAACTAAAGTCTGCATAGTGAGTCCTGATAGCTTACTAAACTTGTATACAAATTTTTTTTGTTTAATTTTTATTTTATTTTTCTTGCAGAAAGTGCTGGATAGATCCCATGATGGAGGACGGGAAGCCCGTTTGGGCTCCGCACCCAACTGACGGGTTTCAGATGGGAATGATTGTGGACATTGGCCCTGGCAACTTAACTATTGAACCTTTGAATCAGAAAGGCAAGGTAAGTGTCTCACAAGCAAAGGAGCGGAGAAAAACCTTACAAGAACTATTTCACCTGTAGGCCAAATCTTTACCAATACCTACCATTACACACAACCTGAAGGAGCGGGAAATTGGTTTTCTCTGGCTAAGGATCTTTGTTTAGCTTTAGCTTGCATAGCTTGCATAGGAAATGAAATATCCCACTAATAAGAAGTGACTGCCTTCTGTCAGTTTTCTGCATGTGTTTATGTGCTTGTGAAAGACAGAAGAATTGAATCCCCATAGCCATTTGATTCAGTACTGTATATTTTTCTAAATTAGAGACCGGTTAAGAGTCTACTGTTGAGATTAGCTTCTCTTTTTTCCCTTAAATGCATAAAGAGAGTGTCCTGCAGGGCTGTCCTAGACTCTGTCCTAGACTCTGGCTCAGATTAGACACCTGTTAGAATGATGAAGGTTGAGAGATGAATCCTCTTACTTCAAGTACCTTGAGAAGTAACACAATATGTCAAACAAAGGTCCTATGGAATTGCTGCATCAAATTAAAGGCAAGATAAATGTAGCTTTTAATGAAGTCCTAATTCATCCTAATTAGTGTGTTCCAACTGCTTCATTTATCATTACATCTTTCATATTCAGTATGTTGAAATTAAATGTCAGTTTTTACAGGACGTACCTTGTATCTGTCAATTATCCTAATTCACATGGTCAGCATCATGGTTTTTACTAGCAGGAATAAGATCAAAGGCTGTTTTAAAAGTTGTAATTTCAGTCTTTGTGAATATGTGATATGTGCCCTTTCTTACAATTTTGTCCTCTCTGTATCTTCAGGTATGCAAAAGACAAAATTTCTTTGTAACTTCTTTTTTCATGTCAACAATAATACGTCAACAATAGTAGAGAATGCCTTGTCACAGGTCAAACGGTTATGCAGCAGTCCTTCCTTCTGGGGGAAATGTTTATAGACTTTCTTTTTTCTGCATCTTGGAGAAGAAGTTGATTTTGCTTTACTTAGAAACATAAAGCAAGTGTAACATCTGATTTTTGTGTGTGAGATAAAGTCTGTAGGTTTAGTAGTAGCAGTCTGCATTCTTCAGTTTTGGGGAAATTATTCAGACGAGAATATTAAATGTTACAAAACCATGACTAAGTAGTCTTTAACTGACTTAAAAGATTTTGACACCACCCCCACCTCCCCTCCCTGCTATTTCTGCTTGTGTCCCCAAATGCTTCTGATGTGATGAAGATCAAAAGTCTGTATATTGAAACAGAAACAGGCAATAAGGAGATTCCTGAGTCACTATTTATTTCTAACAAATGCTTCTTTCAGGGTGCATATATGTTTTTTTTTCATTTTTTGTGAAACCAAAAAATGATCCTAAAATACAGATATTTTGCTTTACGGTTCACAATGAACAATCTCTTTTGTCAAGAAAGTTTGTTATTCTGCTGTTGGCTGTTTTCTTGAATTAAGCAGATCAATTAAGGGCCTAATGTTCATTCATTTAAAGGAACAAACACTTCACAGTTTAAATACCTTAGAGATTATGGTCCTACATTTCTAATTATCAAACTAACTTATATTAATAGAGGTGGAGTAAAACATTTTCTTGATGACCTTCTCAGTCTTTTCAAGGTGTCATTGATTTCTTTTTATAGTGAAATGTTTCTCATTGCTTTTTGTCTTTTTAGAAGACTCTGTTCTTGTGTGCCTAGACTATTAATTTGAAGTAGTCAGCATTAATACCCATTATTATCAACTTTGTTTACTTAAAATGATAGATCAAAAGTGCTTTTCAGTAAGGAGGAGTGATCCAGCAGCTCCAGAGTTGCCCATGATAATTACAGGGAGGAGAGGAGTAACCTGATCTTGTAAACATATCCGGGCAGTGTAATTTATTATTATTTTTTAATCTGGGTCATTAACATGTCATATATATTCTCTGTAGGCGCTGGTAGCTTACCAGAGATCACAGGCTTGGAGAGGAAATGTGTATGCATATGTTTATTACCTTTTATACCACTTAGTGGTTAATTAGAATATGTTGCTGATAACTGCAGTAAATGCTGCAAGGCAGCAGTTTCATGATGTCCTAGAATCCTCCCTCCCTTCCCCACCCGTAGCTAGCTCTGGCGTAGCAGAGCGGCACCCTCACAGCTCTGCTCGCCGAGCTGTGCATGACACAGCAAACGAGGGCAGAGAACGGATGCACCTTAAAAATGAAGAACTGGGAAGTTTTCAGGAGGGCAGCAAGCGGTGGCAGGAGGGCAGAGGACCTGAGGCCAGTGTGGCTGTAGATCGCTTTGTGTTGTGAAACCAAGTTACCCGATCCAGACTGGGTGAAGGTAGTTGGTCAACACACTGATGTACTTATGAACCAGCAATAGCAATTTTGCGTACAGAAGCCCATACAGAGTTAATGACGGCACTTACATTTCTGTGCGGAGGCTGAGTGTCTAAAGAGAGGTGGAGACCTGAGTCACCTAGCTTGTAGGAGAAAGAGTAATCCAAGCCGCAGGAGCGTGTTACCAGAACAGAGGATGCATGTGTTATACGATGGGAGCGACTCCCCAAAAACTAGATCATCAGCTCGCGAGGCTGATAAATGCCACGGCTGGAAAGAGAATGAAGAATCTGGAGAGCAGTTTGCTAATGAGCGTGGTCCCACCTATGGCTGGAGCGCTGCCCTGAGGGTGGGCTCCAAACTGGACTGGGGGGCTGGAGCTGGGAGCCCTGGCCAATGTCCCACCAGCAGTCGCACACTGGTCTACAAGGAAGGCGGGTAGAAAGGCAGCCAGTTGCTAAACTCAGCTAGTGTTGTATTTACACGTCTACTTGGAGTGTACTTCTCTGAACTTATTTGGGATACCCACCTCAGGTTATGTTGTATACGTCTTACTTTGTTCCGTTTCTTGATGCTGTAATGGGGAGAAAGCAGGTGACAGCGAATTCCCAAACGGGGATTTTACTCGTTTCCTGGAGGTAGCAAATCTAAGGAAAGCTATTAGGAAGAGGTGCCTCAGGGGGACTTGCAACCTGAGGTGCCATCCCGAGACCCTTGTGGCACTGAGGAGCAGGGGGCAGGCGTTTCACAGAATCACAGAATGTTTGGGTTTGGAAGGGACCTCTGTGGGTCATCCAGTCCAGCCCCCCTGCCGAAGCAGGGTCACCTACAGCAGGCTGCACAGGACCTTGTCCAGGCAGGTCTTGAATATCTCCAGAGAAGCAGAATCCATGACCTCTCTGAGCAGCCTGTTC